GGCACGCCTTGGAAGAGCCGCGCCTACAGCCCGGGTATCCAGGGGTGAGCGCGGCGCGCCGGGGCCTCCTCCCCAGACGGGAAAGGGTGCCGGGCCCTCTCTGTCCCCCCCACCCCGGGAAGGTTAGGGACCCCTGCTCACAGTGGGGCGGGTGCGCGTCGTGCGGTTTCTCGCAGACTCAACTGCCGCAGGTTTTTGAGTATTGTCAGGAACGTGAGTCAGGTTGAAGGTAACATAGTAACTTTTTTCTTTCTGAGAAAGCCGCTTTAAAAGGTGAGTAGGTTTCGGGAGCGATACAATTTAACCGTGAGTGCTACTGTAGCTACAAATGACTTGTGGGTGGGGTGGGGTGGGGTTGTGCAGAGTGTTTAAGTCCTGGGCAGAAATGAAAGTAAAGCGCATCATTTTGCAATAGTTAAAAGCAGGCTATTAGCACTGAAAATTAAAACCGATTTAATGTATGTACTTAAGCTTTAAAAGATGCAACTTTGTTTAAAAACATTTACACGTCGGCCTAGATGGTCTTCGAAGGCCTGTTGGAGCTCGGAGTTCTCGGAGAACTCAAGGAGTGAAAGGAAAGGAAACGGGGAGGGGGTGGAGGCTGGAGTGGGTCCAGGTGCGGCTGCCCAGGTGCGATGCTGTTACACAGCTTCTTTGCCTTTTCTGCTTTCTTGAGTTTCTCCATACACAATAATCATTTATAGGTTGTGTTCTGTGTTTCAGGACTTAAGTCACAAGCTTGGCTTGCTCAGTTTCTTGCTGTTTTAAATGGGGTTGGAGCATTTCCCAGGGTTTTAGGGTTATCACAGCCGTTAGAGTGATGGCTAGGCACTGAGGTTCCTTCTGAAAGTAAACTTTGTATACTTACATTTTGGCATTCCCTTTGAAGTACTTAGAAACACCTAAGTTGATGCTACTTTACACCGTGTGTATTCTGCAACTGTTTCGTCTGGTTGGGGTTGAAGTGTTACTTTCTTGGTTCCCCTCTGCCCCTCTCCCCTGGTGCCCTCAGACTGAGACAGGTGGCAGGAGCTCTGGGGCACCTCTTGGGCGACCTGAGGTTTCCAGCGAGTGGACTGCAGTAGACTCAGTGTCTCTGCAGTGGGAGGACCCTGAAGATTGGGTTTGTGCTACAAGCGTGCTGTGGTCTCTTGCTGTCCAGAATCGTGTGTCTGTCTCCCGAGCAGTCTCCGGAGCGGTCTCCCAAACGGTTGGCATCCTGTTCTGAGCGCGCCTCTCCAGCTCCTGGGGTCTCATCCATAACCCGTGGGTTTCCAGTTGGCCCTCGTTGCAGTGTGGTGGTGTTTCTGTTGGTGTGTGAGCCGCTGCCCTGGGACACGGGCAGGGCCATGTGGGAGATAAGGCTGAGCTTGGGCTTAAGCGTGGGGACACTGGCTGCGCAGGGTGCACACCTAGCTCCTCTCTGCCTTCTCAAGTCGTCTGTGTGGCGTCTCCATCCCTTGTCCACTGTGCGCTCCAGCAGGCTGCTATCTCGCTTGCCCTCTGACCACGCTGGGGCCCTTGCCCAGCCCAGGCGGTGGCCTGCGGCCCCTCTGTCACTCTGCCTCCTCCTCTGCTCTCATGTCACCCTCACCCGGGCTAACGACCAGGGCTGAGCTCAGTGACCCTGGGCGTTCTGCATTTCCTGCCCTAGGTCCTGGCTCGCTGCCCTCTGCCAGCCTCTGCCCCACCTGTTGAATTCAGCTCAGAGGTAGTGTGGCATAGGGCGCAAGAGGGGGCTCTGATGCCAGCCACGAGGCCGGGTTTGATCCCCATCCTAGGAGGAAGTTGTCACCATGCTCTGACTCCTTCTCCTTTGCCTGGTGACTCTTCCTTGCCTGTCAGGTGGCAGGTGCCACCTCCGCAGTAGAGACCTCGGCGAATCCACTCCCTGCCATTTCTGCCTAGAGGAGGATCCTGCTAGTGTTGCCTGCCAGTTGCCTGGGAGGTTGGGGTCCCTCTGCTTGTTCCCTTCTCTGACTCTCAGAGGAGGCAGGGAGAAAGTAGTGAACCAGAGAAGTGTGGAGCTGGAGCCACAAGAGGAGGGGAGCTGAGCATAAGAGCGTTTCATGTGATCCACCGGTCTTCTGTGAACAGACCCTGTGGTGTGAAGTGAAGAAGGGGCCCTGTCTTGAACCTGCCTCATCCACCAGCTTACCCAGCACCATGCTCTCCTATGTTGCTCAGAAAGAAAAGACATGAAAGAGCTTGCTGCGGACCGTTTGTCGCCTGTGGTCCCAGGACGTGCATTTCTGAAGACATCGTTACAGTCCTCGGGAAAGGATCAGCCACATCTCCTGAATCCCGGGATCTCTGCCTGGTAGCCCGTGTAGCAGCCTGCACCATTCATCCTTTTCTGGGGCGTCTTCTGCCCTTGCAAGTTTGGGAGTTGCTGCTGGCTCTTGTCTTGTTGCAGTTTTAGCCGAATGCTCTGTGAACTTGGGAGCCAGGGTGTGGTGTAAGGCGTGCTTTGCCTGGGCTACTGACAGAGATGAGCTCTCTGGCCGCTTCCGCTTTCTTGTGCTGCTTCTCTGACCCCTGACCTCGTCTGTGGTGCTGTTACTTTTTCCTGGGTAGTCCCAGGGTTTGGGAACCTCTCACTGAGGCTGAAGGCGAGTCAGAGTCCTACACGAATGTGGACACGTGGCCTCACCTGTCCTGGTGCACTGGGTGAAGGGAGGCCCAGTCCCAGCAGGCACCACATCTCGGCTTGCACCATGCAGACACTCGCTCAGGTGTGTCTATGATGTGGCAGTGTGTGCAGCTCCCTCTCTACAGGTGCCATGATGTCCTGTGCTCTCCTCGGAGATTCTGCTCTGCCAGAGTCTGAGACGCAGCCCATGGTGCCACAGCGCCCTGATGCGCTGTGCTGCTGCTGTGAGGGAGGGTGAGCAGTGAGGGCCCTCCTGGGACCCGCAGTGAGGCAGTGGGACCTCCTCCAAAAGTCCTCCCGAGGGCCACTGCCATGGGTGGGAGGTGCGGCTGCTGTGCGATGTCACCGGTCTGGTCACCTCTCTCTCCCCCCCCCCTCAAGTGAATGCCAAGGTGTCTGGGAAAGCCATGAACACCTCCTTGAAGGGTGCAGGCGGCACAAGTGGGTCTTGCTCTCGGCTTCACCCTGACACTGAAGGTCGCGGTGGCCGGGAAACAAGAATGATTGTACTGCCCAGATATTTCCTGCTGCAGTGCCGTGGAGGAAGTGTGCTCGTGCCCAGACACTCCACCCATTTAATCAGCACCCTGTCGCTGCTCTGCCGTTGTACGCCGCCGGTCTGCATGGAATTTAAGCGTGGTCCTGGCCGGCTATGCTGGCTGAGGGATGTGCTGGAGAGCCGCTCAGGCCACATCGTGCCCGGTGAGGAAGCTGGCACCGGAGCAGTGGCTGCCCGGGAGGACTTGCCAGTGCTCCAGAAGCGGGCTGGAGCGAATGTTAAATAGGCTGGCGTGGTGCTGTGGAAAAATGCGAGGCTGCAAAGGCTTTTGTGAAAAATATCTTAGTGCTGGAGCTGTGGAAGTCAGAGCAGATCCTGTTCTCACTGTTGTGAATGTTCGCTGGGAATGCACTGCTGCTAGACGAGACAATTGTCTGTGGCTTAATTTTTTAAAAAAGTAATTTTAAAGAAAAAAATTTCATAGTTTAGATTTATATTTCAAGGGAAAGTCTCAGACGCCCTTTTTGGTCTCTAATGTGATTGTGGTCTTCATAGTGAATGGATTCATGCAAATGGCCTCGGGGAGGGGCCTAACCCTAACCTTGGTGGCAAATAAGTACTTTTTGTTTCTTGGCTTGGTGGAACAGTTCAGGATCAGATTTTCTCACTGTGGAGTGGATAACAGAGCTGTGATGACAAAAGTAAGCTGAGATGTTCCAATCCATAAACTTGATGGTACATCCAGGACTCAGGTTGCAGGAGGAGGGGGTGACAGAACCAGGAGCCCCACCCCCCTGCTGGAGCCACTGTGTCACTGAGCTCAACACAGCTGGTGTTGGATGGTGGGGCCCTGTGCCGAGACTCTGCCAGCTTTCTTTGGTTTCTTTCCTGAAGCAGAGTTTGCTGGGAAGCCAGCCCTCTCACCAGGCGCTGTGACCAGAAGGAGGTTCCCAAGCAAGGGCAGGCAGGTGGTCTGGGTGAGGAGCAGCAGTGCCCAGGCGCCTGCTCCATGTGAGCCTGCTTCCGTGTGGGACAGCCAGGTGCCTCCCCCAGCCTTGGCATTGCCATCTTAGGGTTCCTGGTTTGCAGCCCTTGTATGGGTGTGGTTGCTTATTGGCAGGGTTCATTTCCTTGGATTTAGCGGTCCCCAGTTCCTTCTTGCTCTCAGCTTCCTCAGGCCGCCTGCATTCCTTGGCTCATAGTCCCCTCCATCTTCAAGCTGGCATGGTGCCTCGAATCCTGATGGTGTCTCCTGTCTGCAGAGAAAGCCTCCTGTTTCTGCGGCACATGTGTCTGCCCAGGCTTGCCACGCAGTGGTGAGGCACCCAGACCTGGAGACCGTGTCCTCAGAGCCACACACAGCTCCGTGGCAGGGGGGCTGGCCCTGCTGTGGACGAGACAGTGGCATGGAGCTCTTGCATTGTGCCAGCCGTGCTCTAGCTTGATCATCTCCACAGACAGTGTCGGGCCAGGCTGACCGTGAGGGCAGTGAGAGCTCTTCTCTTCCTCTTGTGGTGGGCTTTTCTTTTTAATTTTTATTTATTTATTTAAAAATGTTTATTAATGCATGTTTGTAAGATGTAATGATTGCTTCCGCTGTGGGGAGTGGTACCTATACATAACCATCTTAATTCTTGCCAGCCCTCCCATATCTAGATACCCTTCCCATTTGTAAAAGATCTGTCTTCCTGTTTCCTATTATCTGTCTTTTATTTTGATTTTTATTTATTTATACTTTGGGTTTCTCATAGAGAAAACATGTGGTATTTAAACTTGTGTGTCTGGTTTATGTCACTTAACATATGGTCTCCAGGTGCACCCCTTTTTCCCACAGATGACAAGTTTATCTTTCATGACAGAGCAGTACTCCGTTGTATATAAATACCACATTT